ATCTCTGAGCTGCCAGGGACGGATGCTGCCAGGCCGTTGGTCTAGCCAGTGTCCACACTCCCAAACCCACCAAGCTCAAGTCTGTGCCGATTCCACAGGGCCGGCTCGCTGTGGGGCTTCTGGGGGGCCCCGGGGCGCCTCACCATCCTTCCCAGATGCCTCTGCGTGCTGTCATAAGGGCTAAGGTGGCAATGGCCCTGGGGCCAGAGAACACAGGGCATCGGGGCATGTGTGGGAAGAAAGTAACTCATCAGAGCTCTGGAGGGAGAGACTGCATGGAAGGAAGGAGAGACGCTGGGGTTTTGAGCACTTACAGTATGCAGGAGACAGACCTGTCCTGGCTTGTGCCCACACTGGACCTTGAGACTCCTAGCTCAGGGCTTCGGCGCCACTCCTTCCACATCCATCTCCTCAGAGGTCCTGGACAGCAGGGGCAGTGGCTTTGGTGTTCTGTGACCCTAATGCCTACCCCACGGCCTGGCCCAGACTAGGAGCTCAGAGGGTGCTGGCCCTGCGAACGAGTGAATGCTAGCTAGCCACATACCTTCTGCATGAGAATGCCGGATATCTGGAAGAAGAACTGAGGGGAGGGAGGAATGATGGGCGCCTGGGGCAGAGAAGGCAGAAGCCCCCCCCCTCAGGTTTCTGGGAGCTAGGTCTCTGTGGGGAACGGGGAACATCTCCACCCTCGAACTGGCTCTGTCACAGGCCTGCTGTCTCCTCTCTCCTCCCAGTAAGAGCCAGACAGGAAAGAGGTGCTGGGAAGTGGAATGTCTGGGAGTCCAGGCATCTCCCGGGCGGGCTAGACCCTGGTCTGGGAGTTGGAGAGGCAGAAGGGCTTCATACCCCTTCCTCCCTGTCCCGACCCTGGGTGTTGCAAGGGCTCCCCTCCACCGTGACCCCAGATTTGCAACAAGAGAAGAGGCTGCCCTGGCAGAGGGAGACTCCAACCCGAGCGGTCCAGGCTGGGGTGGCACATGGGGTCCTGGGAGTGGGGCCCAAAGCCCTGTCCCTGCCTGAGGCCCCCCTTGCAGGGCAGTCAGGTGGAAGGAGCACCGGCCTGGAGTTAGGAGCACCCAGGTTCTGGCTCCTCCAGCCTCAAACTTCCTGAGTGATTTTAGGCAACTTAGGATTTGTTCCCTGGGTCTCCGTTCCCTTATTTGTCAGGGGAGAGACCTGGATGGTTTGACTCCAACATCCTATTCTCTGAGGCCGCTCTTCAGGGGCCCTAGAGACACATGACCTGGCCAAACGAAGGCCTGCTAGTAACTCCCTGGATAAGGCAACACTGTCCTCCATCCCATCACATTCAGCAGGAGCCAGGGGCTCCCATCCGTGAGCTGGGCTCTGCTGGGACAGGGGTAGGAGGGAAAAGGTTGACGTGCAGAACGAGGGACCAGGGCATGACCGATGATGTCACTTGTGAACCCGGACCTGGCTGCTCAGAGGGTGATGATAGCATCTAGAGGATTCTCCTGGCCCACACTCTTTCTCCTAAGACCTTCTGAGGTCAAGCAGGCGTTACAGCTGCTCAGGGTACTCTGTTCTTGGACTGCTGAGCCCCGGAGCTGGCCTTGGGAACAAGGAAAGCACTGAGCACCCTGACATCTCACGTAACAAGCCACACCAAGGAACAAGGAAGCCCAGTCACTGTAAGCCATCGCCTTCCTTACCTACAAGCCCCACCTCTGGTCACCTCCAGACAAAAGCCAGGAAATCACTCCCAAGGACCTCAAAGCAGCAAAAGGAGTTGCAAAGTCCTGCCTTATAGCTGGTGGACTTTTCTTATAGCCTATTGACTTGTATTCTACACACAACTCTAATGTATTTTGTGCTGTTTTTCCAGCTGATGGCAGCTTAGAAACATATTGAGAACCAGAGAAGTGCAGTTAGGCTGGCATATGACTGAAATGGCATAGAGATAGGAAATGTACAGAAAGCAAGCAGAAGAGCTCAAAGAATAAAATCTTCCTGTTACTAGGAAAGCAGCCTTGGCTCCCTCAGCCCTCACCTGCCCTCTGGACAGATACTGGACTGACCCTGGGAGGAGGTGGGGCCTTAATCTCCTGAGGATGTTTACGGTCTGGGAAGCTGCTTCCCTTCTTTTTTTCTTCCTTCTCCTCGTCGTTACATAAAGTAAGACAGCTTATGAAATGACACACAATAAAACAAGAGTTTAAAACGTCATAACCAGGAATCATGCCATCAGGCTGGAAGGTCACACTCCAGAGACCTGCACAGCTCTTTATCTCTAGTGCTATTTGGGGCAGGGGTCCCTCCAAACTGCCCGGGCTTTAGGTGCAACGTTAACAGCTGCACCTCACAAGGAAGGGGGCTGGGGTACATGTGAGAGGGGGGATGGTAAATGGAAACTGGAGGCCCATCTATTCTCAGGAAGTGCTGCTGAAGATCTAGCAGCTTGTCATTGGTTTCCTCTTCTACACTTTCCAGGCCCTCTGAGCTAAAGAGACCTCCTCCGCAATCCACACCTACCCCTGGCCCAGAGGACTCCAAGGGGCAGGCAGCCGGGGCTCGCCAGAAGGGGGTGACCTTTGTCTTGAGAAGGAGCAGCCAGGGCTGGGGTCTCACCCTCTAGCCCAGTCCTCCCCTGTCTGTCACTCCAGTTGGTAAGCAGCGACTCCACCTCCCAGACCCTCTTCAGGGTTCCTCTTCATATGTCTTATAACTAGACCAATCCCTGGCCCCCCCAGAACAGAGAGCTCCCCCAGTCTCCATCAGAGGCAACTTCCTTGCAGAAGCTGTGCCAAGGCCCAACGCAAGGGACCCAAGACACCCAAGAAACCAATTACTGCACCTCACAGATGGGAAAACAGAGGCCTAGAGATGCAAGTGACTAGCCCAAGGTCATCATGGCTGACTGAGGACCAGAGGCCAGGCCTTCAGACTCCCAGAGCACTGTGGTTCTTCTAGAACTCATGGAGAAGCCTCCTCCAGCTGGTTTTCAGGCAGCAGGAGGGTCCCCAGGCCCTCTTCTGCATTTCTTTTGTTCTTCTAGGCCTCCCCATGTAAACACTGCTGGTCTGTGAAGGGCTCGCAAGGGGAGAGAAGCTAGGGTTAAGGTAGGGATTTTATTTAATCCTCTGAGCTGGCTTAAACTGATGCCACGGTGGTTAGGGCAGGAGGGACATCCAGGAGGGTTTGGTGGGGGATGGGGGGAAAGGGGAGGGCATTAGCGAATAATCACTAGATACTAATAGGCTAGGCTTGTCAATGAGTTTATCCAACAAGTACCCACCTTTTTAGACTCTCCACCTCAGGGCCTGAGACTCCAAGTAGCGACCCCCTTTCGTGGGAATAACCCAATCTCCCTGTACTCAACAGTGCAGAGCAAGGCAAAGATCACAGGCCATAGGTTGAGACAGATCTGAGGGCAAACCCTAGCTCTGCTACTTCCTTGCTGTGTGACCTTAAGCAAGTCCCTTTATCTCTCTGAGCCTTGGCTTCTTCCTCTCTTAAGGGGGCTGAACACACCTTTCTTGCAGGCCTCCTGGGAAGGAAGCCTGCCTGAGCTCATGTACCTGAAGAGAGGCAGGGGAGGCACTGAGTCCAAACTCAGCGCTATTATTACAAATCTCATATGCTTTAGCTCTCATCCAGACCCATCCATTACTCTTCTGCCTCGACCTGCTTGCGTCTTTGACATTAATAACCTTAATGATAATAATCCTTCCCAGCCAAACAGCATTTGCATCATTTCAAAACACGAAGCATTCTACCCACTGTGGGCCACAGCAGCCCTGCCAGGAGTACTCAGAACTGAGGCAGACTCTCAGCCCCCAGGCACATTTCCCCACAATGTTTCTAAGTCCCAATTTTGGCACTGATCCCAAAGACCCTGAACAGACAAGCTGTCTTATGGCAGGCAGATCTCCTGGGGGCACTGGGAGCCCCTGGCTTATCAGAAGGAGCCAGAAGCACCCCTCCCATCACCCCACAGCTGACCCTCCATCTGGTCCACTGCTCTGACCACAAGTAAGCTGCCCTCTCCACGCTGGCCTCCAACTCTCCAATTCTGAGAGCCAGGTGGGCAGCTGCTGGAATCTGGCCTTGGGTGCACGGATTGCCAAACCTAAGGCCAAGGCCCAGCTGTGAGCTCCTTACCCTGACAGAGCCCTCTGAAAAGTGTGGGTTCACACCTTTGATCTTCTTACTGGTTCTTCAACTGTCTGTCACCATCCCCAGGATCTAGAGTATCATCCCCATATTCCACAAGAGGAAACTGAGGCCCAAAGCAGAAGGGCCCAGCCAAGGTCATCCGTGGGGTTTGGGGTAGGGCTGGGGAGTGAACTCAGGTCCCGCAACTACCTTGGCCTGTTTTCCATAACCCGGCGGCCCCTAAAGTCTCTCCAATAAACCTGGGTCCCTGGACCAGAGCCCAAGAACTCTCCTCCAATATGGGGACTGCCAGAATGCGCATCTCTCCCTTCCCTATCACATTCCCTCCCCGCATCTGCAAGCGAGTCACCAGGGAACCTGTCCTATCCCTGGTAGCAACTCCTCGGGCTGGAGGAGTGCCTTCTCCACTGAGTAGCTCTGGAGTGGGGCCAGAGTTCACGGGATGGGCGGCAGAGGCCGGCAGGTGGGGTGGACCCCGGGGCGACAAGCCCATTCCCACACCCACTGTCCTGCCAGCGACGCTCCCCGCGGCGCGCTCCAAGGGGGGACACCACGCAGCTGCCCAACACTGCTCTCCAGGGGTTAAAAATGCAGCATCCTAAACAAGGGTTAAAAATGCAGTCGCGGGGCGGGCCGGTGCGGAGGGATGGTGTCCAAACCACCGCGGCTGCCAAAGCGGCATCCTCCCCCTTCCCTCCGCAGTCCCTGGGGGCCGGAGCGACGGGGGAGCAGAGGAGGCGCGCGCCGCACCTTCCCGGCACCAGTGCCCCCTCCCCACGCCCACACCCCCGCGCCCCCCGCAGCCGAGGCCGGGGGCTGCAGGCGCCGGCGGGTCCCGGGCGCGGCGGGCGAGCGGCGCTTACCTTTGTGACAGTCATGCAGAAACTCCGGGGCGGTGCGGGGACGCGGGCGCGGCGTGCGGGGGCGGTGGCCGGGGTCCACCACGGGCCCCAGCGTTGGCGGGAAGCGGTCGGGCGCGGCGCGGGCAGCTCTGGGCGCGCTCGCCGCTCCCCGCGCCCCGCGGGAGGCTCGGCTGAGCCTGGGGCCGCGCTCCGGGCGGGCAGCGCGCAGGGACCGCTCGTCGGCGCTCGCCCGCCGCTCGCCGCTGATGTCAGCCCCGAATGTGCATTTATAATAGATGAGCCTCCTTCGCCGCAGGAAGGCGAGGCAGGAAGAAAGGGAGAGGGGGAGAGGGCCCAGGCTGGGGGGCGGGGGGAGGAAGAGGGGCCGGGAACTCGCTACAAAGGAGGAGGCGGAGGGAGGAGGAGGAGGAGGAGGAAGCGCACGCCCGCCCGCTGCCCTGCCCTGCGCCTGGGGCTCGCTAGCCCGCCGCCGGGCACCGCCGCTCCCGGAGCCCCGGCCAGGCGCCCGGGCCCGCGGCCTTAACCCCTTCGCGCCCGCGGACGCCACGCGTCCGGGCGAGGCCGGGACCTGGCACCTGCTGGCTGCGGGCGCGCGCGGCCACCCCGGCCCTCGGGGGCCCCAGTTGGCCCGGGGACGCTGCTGAAGTCACACTAGACGGCCGAGACGCCGCGTGGGCCGAGAAGCCTGCCGGGCTCGCCCCCTGGAGGTTGGCGACGTCCGTCCCGGGCCTAGAGTGCCGCGCGGCCGCGGAGAGGGGCGTGGCAGCCGCAGGCCCTGACTAGTCGGACCCGGCACAGGGTCGCGGGAGGGGGCTGTTGGAGCAGTCCTTTGAATCTAATTCCCGCAGCGATTGGCTGGCCCAGCGGGCACTGTAGCCAATTTCACAGAGAAGGAAAATGAGGACCAGAGTGGGAAGTGACTTAGACAAGGGCACACAGCCATCCTTGGCTCCAGGCGGTCGTCCTGGCGCCCGCTCTTTCCACGTCGCCACAAGCTCTCTACGGAACCCCTTGTTATAAAGCTGTCTTCTCGAGATTGGACGATCCCTGCCCTAGGTGTGTCTACACTACTCTTGGGTGCCGCGCTGCTCTGGAGGAGCATAGGTGCGACCTGTGTGGTGCACTGATCCTGACCCGGGTTACACCATATCCTGGAGCTGCTGATGGACTTGAGGGACCACCACCTGAAGGTGACCCGACAGGTCTCCTCCTTCCCGAGCACCTGAGCAGAACCGGTTTCGGCAGATACTGAACCGCTGAGACTCAGAAGAGGAGGGGTTAGTGGAGACGGAGGCGGAGAGATCTTCGCGCCCCACCGCCCGCCTGCAAGCCCGGAAGTGCTGGCTTCCTGCTCCCGCGCGACTATACAAAGCAATTAACTAGACCAAGTGGACCGGGTGGTGTCTGGGCACCTGCTCTGTGGAAGGTGCTGGAGGAAGGGGGGGGGGATCACGAACCTGCCTTCAAGGAGCTCATTGAGTAGACTACAATAGTAGAGTAATCAGCATCTGCAGAGCGCTCCGGGGATCAGACAGCTATTTTTATTTTAATTTTTTCCCTGTAACCCTGCATGCAAAAGAATGAGGAAGGAATTACCATCTTCATTTTGCTGATGAGTGAGCACACTCAGAGAGGGGAGGGGACCTGCCCAAGATCACACAGTGACAGAGCCAGGACTTGAATAGAAGTCTTTTTGAATGGAGCATAGCGTTCACAGCATCTTGCCTTGGCTCTGCAGATCCCAGGGGGCACTCACACCTGCTGCCTTATGTGAGCTTCACACTTGTCCTGGGAGGTAGAGGGACAGCCACTAGTCCCACTTCCACATGTTCGAATGACTTACTAATTCTCTTGGGGAGCCCATGTTGCCGCATCTCTTCTGTGCACACCCTTCCTGTTCGCATGTTGGACCTCACGCCTTTGACCACGTTGCTCCCGTGCCAGGAATGCCCTCCTCATTTTTATGCACTAATCCAAACACTCCCCACGTCTCCCGGCCCTACCTCCTTGGTGCACCCGACTCCAGGCCCCATGCTCCCCCTGTTGCATTTGGGTCTGCCTACCTGGTGTTGTTTTCACGAGCTTCCTGTCAGTACAGACGGTGAGCTGACAAGTATCCTGAGCACAAGGGCATGGCTTCTCTTGTTGTGTACCCCTGGGCAAACAGTAGGTGCTCAGTGAAGATTTAATGCCATTAACAATGAATCAAGCAAAATAAACCTTTGAGGTGCAGCAGAAGAAATTTAAATGAGACCCACAAAAGCATTTCCCCTCAGTCCTGCATCAGAGGTGGGTCAAATTCCCTGTCTGAATTTGTTTTGGGTAAGATCAGCCTTCAAGACAGGAGGACGGACCTCAAGACCTTTCCGGGGCCCCTCCAGCCCTTCTTGGAAGACACTAAAGGACAACTCAAGAACACCAGTCACCTTTTCCTCATGGCTGTGACTCGTCCGCTTTTATCTCTCATGGATATTTAAAATCCCAGATTGTTAGCCTCAGCTAACCAGCATGCCTCTTGGCACCTTCCCCACCATCCGCGGGCATTGTGGGCTCTGGGAATGAGACAAATACTTAATATCAGCTTGAGCCAAATGTAATTAGGAACATCAATCTGCTGCCCACAACCCACGTGACACACTCCGAAGGCAGACAGAAAACTTTCCTGATCGCTCACGTGCTGGTGGCTCACCCCTCCGCTCTGATCTCCCCATCAGGATGGAGTTCTGGGAGAGGGAGGACCGTCTCAAAGAACTCTGCATCCCCTTGTCAGACCAAGGGTTGGCCCGTAGAAGATACTCAGAAATACATCTTCTCTGGTGCAGTTGTCTATACCACAGTACCTCCTGCCCTGGGTTCCAGCAACGTGGCCCGTCTTACTTTGCATTCTCCCCAAAGCAGAGCCTGAGAAAAGGAGCTGGATGCAGGTGGTTTAATTGGAAGGTGATCCCAGGAAGTAGGAGTGGGACAGTGGAGCAGGGGTGGGTAGTGAGTCTGGGAAGGAGGAAACGCCAGTATAAGCTTGGTTTTATATTGTGTGTTCTCAAGGTCACTACTGGTGGCCAGGGGGCCCCGTTTCCCCAGGGACCTCTGGGATGTGTCCTGCATTGCTTGCCAGGAGTCAGTCAGCGGGCATTTATGGACAGGTTCCTTTTCTTCACTGTTCGAGGGCTGCCACGGAGGGGCTCGCTTCAGATTGGAGAACGCCTGGGGTCAGAAAGTGGAAAGTCACCCGCCCCACAATTCCTTGAGGAGGAATGCTGTCAGCTCAAGTCTGAGCTCTTGGGGAGGCAAGCCGAGGGAAGCTGAGGGAAGGTGCTACAAATCGTGGAGGAAATGAGAATGTGCAGTAGCAGCTCTGGCCTGCCCTAGACGCTTTCACACCTCGATGCTTAGATTATGCTCCCTCCTTGGTCTTGGATGCCTCTACCCCTCTTTCTCTGCACAACAAACTCCTGTTCGTCCTTCAAAGCCCAGCTCAAATGGCACCTCCTCTATGTGGCCCTCTTGACACCACCTCCACGGGGACCTGATTCGAACTGTATGATCATGATCATAACTAAAATAGACTTGTCCTGTCTCTTCAGATGGGCTATGACCATGTGTTCTCCCTTTTTAATCACAAGGAGTAGCTAACACATAGATGCTCGGTAACTGTTCAACCAAGCCAATGAGACAGCACCTTTAGCTTCTGCCTTAGTGACCCCTTGGCTCCAGTCCCAGCACCCCTGAGTGAGGCGTTGGGTCTCTCAACTTCAGGCACTGCCCTGCCTAGTGTGTTCATTCGCCCAGGCACCATGTTGGGTGCCACTGTACCGAGTGAAAAGGGCTTGGTCCTTGCCCACTGACGTGGGGACACATCCGAGACCATGGGTGCATGCTGCCCTATAGCAGGGAGCAGAGGGAAGTTGCCAAAGCCATGGAGCCCTAGAGGAGGGAGGTGCTGCCTAATTCATGCCATCCCAGGATGCACACACACTCCACCTGCCCCCAGGTACTCAGTCGGCAGGCCCTGCAGACCTCACTGCCCTTCAAATCCTTCCCCTCATCACTGTCTCCACTATTACTGCCTTCATGCAGCATTTTCTTTTGCTTGGGTCACCCCAACTGGTCCCCCTGCCTCCTATCTTGGGCCCACCCATCCGTTCTCTACCCAGCAGCTCATGCACTCCTGAGCAAACACACACAGATCTGCCTCCTTGACACTTATCAGGGGCTCCCTGATGCCTTCAGGATGAAGCCCAAACAGGGTCCTCCAAGACCCACCCCAGGCCCTTTAATCTTCACGCTTCCTGTCTCATCATACTCTTACCCATGTCTTCCCCCTCAGTACCTATCAGAGTCTTCCTCGTTATGTCCTCAGATGTCGCCTCCTCCAGGAAGCCTGCCTGGACTATGACCAGGATGGCTTAGCCGCCCAGCCTCTGTGCTACTTTCCATACTCCCTGAGTTTCCTTCTGTGCTTGTGCATTGTTTTGTCATTTCCTGTTTGTGTGTTTGGCATCCTGCTGTAGGACCAGCTGCTTGAAGACAAGAACTGCTTCTTTTCTTGGAGATTCCAGCACACAGCAATTCTAGCACATTGCTTTGTCCCCTTCCCTCTATACAGTTCTCATGGTTTCCATTTCTCCCTTCCTGTCTCTTTTTCATTGTTTTCTCGATCTCTCTCCCTGACACATGCCTCAGTTCTCGGGTTCGCTCCACCCCCTGTCTCTGTTGCCCCCACCCCCCCATGCTTCGAATCTGCATGTCTGTGTCCTACCCATACCCCTTCACCGACAGACACCCCTCATTCCTGCTTTTCCTCCTCTGCCCTCCACCTCCCCACTCCTTCTACTACTCTTCATGCCTGGGTAGGGCTGTCCTCTCTCCTCCCCTCTGCTGGACGTTCAAGCTCTCTCTCTTCCTCCCGTCTCTCCTCCAGCTCCACCCTCCTGTCCCCTCCTCTCTCTGTGTCTGATTTTGTCTCTGTGTTCCTGTCCCTACCTCGCTCCCTCTCTCACCCACTTTCTCTCTCCTGGTCCCTCACCCCCTTTCTCCATGGCCCCTATACAACACACATAATGCTGACTTTGGGAGGGGGGCCCTGTTCTGGAGTGTCATCCTTCACCCCATATCAGAGGGGTGATGATCGCTGAGCCTCCTGAAAGGAGGCACATCTGCGTCCTTGGCTGGGGATGCCCTCACCTGGGCCACAGGCTCTTCATCTGTGACCCACTCTGTGACTCCGTGAGCTTGTGTGAGTGGGTATGGGGGTGTGTGCCCATAT